CMYMWCAMMWSTRWAMAMRTATGGATCTCAGTKCCCTCATGTMAGGCGGGATGATGAGCGTGCCTRTATGCSRAATTTATGCAAACACACCCATCGTCTCACCCGAGACGATTGTTTGGATGTTAAAGAGATTCGGACTTATGCAAGCACACCCGTCGTCTCACCCGAGACGATTGTTTGGATGTTGAAGAGATTCGGACTTAGGGATAACGTAGTAAACGAAAATTTGATGTGTTAACCAACAACAGTTCAATCATGACACCTTGCTCATCACATACGTAAGCTTTGAGTTTAACAAGTATGGATCTCGGCACACTCCTGTTCCAATCTGCCAGGGTCACAAGTCTTCTAAAAACAAGTCCATATCTCATCATACATCTAAACAACCGTCTTCAGCAAGACGATGAACCTACATGTGTGCCTTTGGGATAACCGAAAGAATTGTACTCTCCAATTCAATCTAATTACATTGCTAATTTTGTTTACAACAGTTCAACAACTATGGATGTCAGCAAACACTCGCATTTGGGGCGACTGGGCGGGCATGCCCATGTACAACACTGCAGTCGAAAATGAATTCGTAAGAAAGAGGACAGTATCACAATATAGTTACTGTATCTTCCATCACATTTATGAAATTGAAGTTTGACAAGTAAGGATCACGGCACACTTCTGCACAGGGTTCCCTTTGGCGTGCCAATCGTTGTTCGTTTATGATGTTTGACTAGTATGGATCCCAACACACTTCCCCACAGGATCACCAACATGTTTTTGAAGTTCAACAAGTAAGGATCCTAACACACTTCCGCATTTGGGATTTCATTTATGAAGTTTCACAAATATGGATCTCAGCACGCTTCTGCATGTGGTTATCCCCTGGATGGGCATGCCCACGTTGCTTAGGCTGCAGCCAGAAATTAATTCGTTAGAAAGAGAACACAGTATAATGTCCTATTTTAACGAATAACGTGTTAGTGTTAGACGGCACCGAGCCTCGTACAATGTCATCCAAAACCCCCAAGCTCAGAGGCGCAATYGTCGCAGCGAAACTTTTCCCGCGTGCTGCACTTGTTGCCCGCACTGCACAACATCGAGCAAAGGACACGTGGGGTAGTGAGAAACGGAGTTCTAGGCATTGTCCCCCGGTGCATGACGCGTTGCTAAGTACTTCGCATACATGGTCTGACCCCTACTCACAGATCGTGGATATGTCCCTTTCTCTGGAGCAAGAAGGGAAAGACATTCCTCAATGGCAACGGTGTACTCCTTCTTCCCGATCTYGACATCAACCCCTGATGCCTTTAACATATCCTTCTGTWWTGTACTCAACCYGGGGACTTTYTGCAATATGTGCTYTRGATATTTGGAGGACCTCYGTRTTCGAGACRACACCACCCCTGTACAACAGAAGAAAGACAAAACGGAAAATGAGAACCATACATTCGTACAGACGCAACAGTCAAGCAGGACCCAGGTGCGGTTTTGCGACAGGAAAACAAAACGACTGCAACATCCGAGCTTATCACCCCCGCACTTCGCAAAGGAAAACCACCACAACTCACAAAAGCCGGAGGCCAGCAATCCCCGAAGTTCGGACTGCGGCGGACTTTTCAATACACCAGCCACACTGAGACTGACCACATCACGCATCGACAAAGGAAGTTTGGATCCCTGCGGACTAAAACCGGCACTATTCCCGASAAGGGAAAACTGTYAGTCCATSTACTTCGCCACTTTYTTAGCACCGTGGCCTACARTYAAGCAGGAYCTCTCCGACCAMAGGACCCTGATYTCGCGTGGTCATGTGCACCCAGCTGCTGTTGTGCGACTGGAAAACAAAACGACTACAACATTCGAGCTTATCAACCCCGCACTTCGCAAAGGAAAACCACCACAGCTCACAGAAGCCGGAGACCAGCAATCCCCGAAGTTCGGACTGCGGCGGACTTTTCAATACACCAACCCCACTGAGACTGACCACATCACGCATCGACAAAGGARGTCSGGATCCCGGCGGACTAAAAYCGGCACTATTCCCGAGAAGGAAAAACTGTCAGCCGATCTACTTGGCCACTTTCTTAGCACCTTGGCCACTTCCTCAGCCGGGGCAGATCCTTCCTTGGATGGAGTGTAAGGTTTTGGACGAAGTTTTCGCTGCCCTCGACTAGCAACCCGGCCGAGTCACAGATAGGCCGACGAGCTGGAGTAGGGAGGGCTGCTGGCTGTAGCATGCCGGCATCCAAAACTTCCCGTATGTACAGACAGTGTGGAGAATCGTCGTGTGTATAGCGCGGACTGTAATCCGGCGACATTCGGATGCGCAGGCGCTCTTCACGGCTTACCAGTCTGTTTCTCTCTCCGCTCCTTCGATGGTGAATTTGGCGCAGGCAAAGCGAGCACGTCGAGAGCTTGACCACCGAACCTCGATTTTTTTGGGGACGTCACATGTTGTCCTCCACCGAACTCGCCATTCCCTTCGGCGGCAAGGGTGGCCGGCAGCACCAGAGACTTCGGCGGCGACGAAGTGAGGACAGCTGCCACGGAACATGCGACTTTGGCTGTTGCGGATGGACGGGTAGACACGTTGTGCTCGCCGAGGATACCATCGATAACTTCGTTGATGCTTATACGTCGACTTTTTTCAGACGGGCTGATAGCGACGGAAGCCTCGTCGAACCGGTGTTGCAAGTCGACAGCAGACGTCAGTTGCCGGACCGCATAATCTTCAGGCTCTGCGGAAAGGCTGCTGACCACTTGTGTCTCCATCTCCATTGTCGTGGCATCGTCGTCGACATCATCCTCGTGATGCTCTTCGTACAGTTGTCCAAACTCGTCAGACGACTCTCCAGATCCGGCATCGTCCTCACTGTGTTCCACTTCGTCTTCCCCAGACCCGGCACCCTCCCTCCCTTCAAACAAATCAAATAGCACCGTTTCTCCCGCTTCCTCCCCTTCCACCTCTTCTTCGCCTTCTTCCTCCCCTTCTTGCGCTCCCTTCTGTTCCTCCATTTTCTCCACTACTTCCCTCCCACGAAACTCGTCCCCTTCCGCGGTACCCGTGCTGAATCTCGAGGACCGCCCTTCCGTCCCCGTGCACGCTGCCCCTTTCAACGGCACAACAATCCTTGGCCGACAAACCCCGCCCGAAGAAGTTCGGATCTCGGCGGACTTCGTGGTTTCCCTGTCGCCGGAGCCTGCAATTGCAGCCTCCCGCTGCAATCCTTGCGGCCGTCACTCCCGCTCAGGCGACACCTTTCCGACGTCTCCGTCCCGCGCCGCAATGCTGCGAATTTCTCGATCCTTGCTTGGATCCCCCGACCCCAAGCAGCTTCGCATTCCGGACGGCTCTGGTGGCTCCTCACCCGACGTAGTTCGGATCCCGGCGGACTTCGGCTTTTCGGCCGAGCAGCTGCCTCTCAACGGCACAACAATCCCTGGCCGACAAACCCCGGCCGAAGAAGTTCGGATCTCGGCGGACTTCGTGGTCTCCATGTCGCCGGACCCTGCAATTGCAGCCTCACGCTCCAATCCTTGCGGCCGTCGCTCCCGGTCAGGCGACACCTTTCCGACGTCTTCGTCCCACGCCGCAATGCTGCGAATTTCTCGATCCTTGCTTGGATCCCCCGACCCCGAGCAGCTTCGCATTCCGGACCGCTCTGGCGGCTCCTCACCCGACGTACTTCAGATCCCGGCGGACTTCGGCTTTTCGGCCGAGCAACTGCCTAGAGAAACCAAGGCTGCCAACGTGTCCCTCGCTGAGCCCACGGACGAAGTTGGGGGGTCGGCGGAGTGTGTCGTATGCTCGGGCCGGGTGCCGGTCGACGGAGTCCGGTCGACGGCGAAACCCGCCACCCCGGCGCTGCCTGACGGTGTCGTGTTGCTGCCGTGAGACCCTCTCTCCCCCATAGGCGGGATTCCTTTGCCACCCCCTGCGTCGCCACCCTTTGCGTCGCCACCCCCATCCCCTCTGCTTCCAGGTGACCCCCCCCGGAACCACCGTCCGGCCCACTGGGAGGGGGCACTTTCCAGTCCACCACGCCCTTCGACGGACGCGTGTCGAGCTCGTAGTAGTCCTCCATCGATTCCAACCAGCACTTGTTCTAAAGCTCGTCGAACAGTCGACCGACAGTGGAAATGAGGGATAGGTCACCGGATGGCAAAGTATTATTTTCGACCGTCACTTTCTGGAGGACCGACATCCTCGCGAGGTGGAGGAAGTTGGACTTCGACGCGCGTGGGAATGACACCCATCCCGCGCCCGGGATTGCCACGGCCATGACCCACTCGCCATTTCGTATCGCTGGCTGGATCACTCCCGGATGCCAAACCATGTCATGGCCCCACTCCAGCTCAGGTGAATGACGTTGCGGTTCAAGCAGGAAGTGGATGTTGTCATCCTTCCAAGACGGATGATCGGGCGGGACGACGGACCCGGGACGCAAAGCGGGCGGGGGGGCGGCCAGAGCTCTAAGTCTCTCCATCAACTTTATCGGCATGGTGCCCGGCGCCGGTTTGGCCAATGGTGACACGAGGGCTGCAGCGCTTGGTGATGGACCGGCCAACGAGGACCCTCGGCCGTGGTCCGCCGGAGGCGGGTCGTACTGCAGGTCGATGCTCTCCGTGTCGCTCTCCTCCTCCTTCGCGTTGGCGACAAACTCCACACCTATGGCTTCGTCGTCGTCAGTGGAGATCAGGTAAGCGTAACTGGCTAACTTCAACTGCTCCTCGGACTCCACGAAGGACAGCGATTGCAGCCTTTCGATAAACGTCTTCGCGTTCATGCGGGAGGCGAAGTGGTAGTTGTCGAGCAGTGCCAACATGTGGTCCTTCCGACGGATGTACTCGGCGTCAGTGTCCCTCGTCGGACGCGTTTGAAGGAATAAGAAATCGTATATCTTATTCCTCTTCCTCTCGCTCAACTTGAACCACATATCTGTCTTGTTGCTCCACACCTTATCCCGTGTTGGCCTCACGACCATGAACTCACAATTGTGCCCACCCGAATTGACCTCGCTTTTCACCACCTGCATCGYGAATTGCAAGAGGTCGGAGTTCCCTTCCATTGCGACAACGTGCCGGCCGGCCTTCAGGAGCTCCCAGACGCTTCGCGCGTGCGGTTTYCCAAGAAACACGACACCCTCTCCCTTCTTGCCCAGAAAATCAAGAAGACCGACGAATTGTGTCGGATTGCGTTCCATATCCCCATAGACGCTGCCCTGTCGTTCAGGCGCCACCAGCGACCAGTCGCAAGGTGTGAAAGGAATCTCGGACACATCCGTCTGGGTGACCCTCTGAGGCAATCACACGGCAGCAGCGGCACCCCTGGGCAGGTTTCCCTCGTASACCACGGACGTGTTGACGCGCAGATCGTCACCCTTRAAGAGGATGTACATGYGGTCTTCCTCCGTGTATAAATTGTTCCYAACGGGGAARCTTTTTTTTTGCTGCACTCTCCGYACCCACTTCCCTTCCAACAGCTTGACGAAAGAAAGATGGTGCATGCTGGCGAGAAACGACAGGTTGTGCTGCCGCGGCACGAAAACAACGAGAGTCCAATGCGAGGGACACCACGTCTGGAGATAGGAATTCAAAGTCTCCCACGCTTGGGGCTTCCACAGTTTGAGGTCAACTGGCTCGCACAGATCGAGGACGAACGTGTGGCTCTTTGTGGCAGCCAATGCCTCGTTCAGCTTTGCGCCCCTGATGTCCGCCTCTAAAGGGTCGTTGGCGAACGGTGCGATGGATGTCACGTCCCCCGTGTCTTTCCATTTAATGTGAATGACGCCTTCGGCAAGTGCGACTTCCCGACTCTTCAGTTTGCTTCCATTCAACACGGACCTTGTTTCTCCTGTCGACGGACAACTTCTTGTGGCCCGCCAACTTCTCCGTCACCTCAATCGAGTTGTCCTGGTCGCAACCCATGTACAGCGGGCAGTCCTTGAACAGCGCAAAGCCGGAAACGTGTTTCCTGCTGTTATCCCACAACTCGTCATCCAACCCCTGACCTTCAAACTTCTTGAACACGGCAGACCTCGATCTCAGGAAAGGGTACCTTTGGATCCAGTCCGCGTCCGCCCTCTTCTCGTGCTTGAATTGGTAGTAATTCCACAACCGGACCAGCACGCGGTCGCACTTCACCAGCTGCACCATGTCCTGCATGCTGAGCTTTCCCAACTTCGCCAACGACGGAGAGCCGGCCTATTCCCAAACGACCTCGCAAGCAAGCACGTTTTTTTGAACGCGACACTTCTTATTGTCCGTGAGTGACTCCATTGTTTTCCAGCAATGCGCGTCCGGGTCTGGCACTTGCACGAACCAATCGCCCTCCTCTTTCTCCTTTTTGCCCTTTTTATTCGGCGCGTCCACGGGGACGTTGTACACCACCTCCATTCTGCCCAATTTGTCGTTGTGGATGTAGGCGACCCCAGACTCTACGTTTTTGACCTTCTTCTTTTTTACGATCCTGTTCGCCCCATCGTGGCTCAGCAATCTGCCCGTCTCCCATTTTTCGAAAAATTCCAGGGCCAGTTTCCAGACATTTTCCCCGGCTATTGCCAGAGGTAAGTAAGAACGCAGGGCAGCATTTTGCTTCTTAATGGCCTCCTCTTCCTTTTGATCCGCGAGAAGCCACAAGCTGTTTTGAGGCGCCTTGTGGCGCACCGTTGCACAAAACTTACGCCAAGCCCGGACCTGATCTTGTTTCCCGCTAGGGTTCCCCATCACAGCTCTTGGGCAGCCGTCATGCTTCCACTGCCATCGAATGTCTTTCATAGAAAGTTTCAACTGTCTGGGAGGTGCCTTGAGGTCCTTCTTGTTGTCCTGTGAACTAACAAGAAAATACCCTTCGAAGTCGTCGTCGGAAAAGTACACCATCCGTGCCGGCCACCGCTCGAAATTGTATTTCTTGGCGACCTCACTGTTGAGCAGCGACTTGGCTGCAGCTGCATTGTGCTGCCCGCACACCGAGTAGTAGTAGTATTCTCCCGCCAGCTCATCCTTCCACTCCTCCGGCTTCAGACGTTGTGCCTTGGTCCCAGGAGTCGGTTTTTGAAGCCCCAGTGGTGCGAGCTTGAAGACCGGCAACTCGTACGTCTGTTCTTTATTTTCGAATGCAGACCGCATTGCTTCCCTTATCGTTGCCACGAGGACGAGATCTAGCGACCGCTGGTTGTAAAGATCCTCCCACTCCCTTATGTCGACAATCTGAGCCGGGCTGATCTCAAACTCCCGGCTTGTCCTGACGCCGTCTTTGTACTCCAGGAAGTACCCGGCGTCCACGTCGATGGCAGGCCTTGGTGAAGAAGGTCCCGGCTCAGGCTGTTTATGTTTCGAAGCTGGACGTTTGCTACCCGGGTGACCCTCTTCCACCCCCCTCCCCTTCCGTTTCTCTCCCGCAGTCCTCGGGGTCTTGGTCTTCTGTTTCTTCGAAGAGCCCACCAACTCTTCTTGACATTCTCCCCTCCTTTTTTGGGGAGTGCCCTGCGCTCCCTCCCCGCCAATGGCCTCGCCTTCCGCGCCATGACCCTCGGCGGCCTCCAAGTCAGACCCACACAGGACTCCCTCTTCTCCGGGATCTGCTGCGGTCTGTTGCCGGACCCCAGGTATGGACAGCACGGACCTGTCGCTTTCACTCGACGGCGAAAACGGCGGACGCGGTGTCGCCTCATCTTCGTTGTCGTCAAACTGACCTCTGGCATCCTCCCGCTGCACATGTGTAGCCTCCCCGGAATCCAGATCCCCCCCCTCCCCCGCTGCCCCGCTCGACTCACATCCGCCGCATGGCTGCAAAGACATTGACAGTTCCATGTCGGGGCCGACTTCGCAAGGGACGTCGAGGGCGATGTCCTTGTCCTCCAAGGAGTCAAAGAACTCTCGACCCAAAACAAACCCGCCCTGCCGCCGGAGGTCGTTGTAGAACGGGGTGTTCGCAGCACCCGCTCCGAACCCCTCGAACAGACACATGTCCAGAACCGCCCCCTTGGCACCGGCGACGACGTTCCCCTTCGCACCGTAGACATTTTTCATGTAGAACCATCGACGACTGCCTTTCGCATTCTCCCACCGCAAGACTGCCCCCAGCACTCTACGCCGCTTGTTGGTTTCGACGAAGATCACAGGACCACACGGCTGTTGCACTGGGTTTGATGCATCCCCACAGCACCAGTCGATGAACCATTTCGACCTAGCGTGGTCGGATCACGTCCTCGAGGTCGTAGACGACCGTTTTGTAGAATCTTTCCCAGATCCCATCCCGGTGGTCGCTGCAGGCCCCCCTTCGCCCCTGGATGAAGATATATTGTCTGCGGACGACAAGGGAAAACAAATAAAACACCAGTGAGTGTCAAATCGAAGTCAAAGCAAAACGCAGGCGAAAAACACAAGAGGCACACCTTGCCCTCAACACGTCAGTCACATGACGCCATCCGAGGACCTCAAAGTTCGGGCCTCGACCTTGACAGTCCAACAGCCGAAGCTCGCGCTCGACGGGGTAGTGTTCCCCGCGTGGCACTCGGAACCCCCGATAGTCCAACAACCGAAGCTTTTAGGGAGCCAAACTAGAACAGCGAGGCAGCCATGCAGCCAGTGTCCCAGAACCGTGCTCGACCAAACGCACTCCGGAACCGTTGCCGGGCGGGTTGTGCGACCCACCGGGAACCAGGGAGACTCACGACAAAGCAACGCACCTCTCGAAACGTGAAGTTCGCCGGGATCCGAACTTCAGGACGTTGCGACAGGCAGAAACGGCGTTAGGGACACACGATCCGCAAGTTTAAGGTTGTTAAACTCAACCCCGACCCAGGAAGGCCAGACCGGAATGAAAGGCTGGTTGAAATGGAGAAGTCCGTCCTAGTCCGAACTACTTCTGGTTTTCGATCTCGCGTGATGCATAGCTTGGCACTGGATGAACCCAAGCTCGAAAGCGACAGCCGTGTCAACATTTCCCAGGTCCTTGGACTCTGGCTGTTGCCGGAACCCACGAGGGATCCGGAAGACCACCGTCTGTGGCAATAGACAGGCGACTCCTGAAGTTCGCCGGGATCCGAACTTCAGGAGGACGCGTGAAAGAGAGATAGAGAGAAACATTGGAGCAACTCCAAGTCCAAACGCTAGACGGCGTTCGACCAAGGCGCACGAGGAAAAACCCCGGGGTTCCACAGCTGACCGCAGGTTTTGATGGCAGCAGTCATCAAGTCCAGGCGTAATTGGTAGCAGGACCGTTTCCGACTCCGCTCTGCACTCGAAGCTCGGAGGCCGGTAGGACGCACAGGCCAAACCGCGAAGTTCGCCGGGATCCGAACTTCAAGAGGGCGCGACACGGAAAGAGACGGCGTGCACTAGCAACTGCTGCCTCCCGCGCCTTTCTCCATCACTAAAACTCCGCTATGTTCGGCAACACACAAGCCTCTCACTCGTCTCCCTTCTTTTCGCTTAAGCAGGATTTCCAGCCACACGTCCAGATCTTGTGACAATCGCGGTTCCTCGGGGACGAGGTCGCGAACCGTAGCCATACAAAGCATTCATTGACGATCCGTATACGCGGACCAGCGGATCGTCGACCGCTGCAGTTTCCGAAAAGACGGACATGTATTTCATCCTAACAAACACTCTCGGTCGTGCTAAGGAGTTCCCTATACAGTCCCGTATGGCGGACACTTTCTCCTCGACCTCCCTAAGCAGCGAAAAGTTTTGGACCGGCCCTGCTATAACCAAATCTCGCCACCCATCTACACGTTCAGGCCCGGGCGTCGGCACGAATTTGGACCCCTTAATCACCACCTCGTTGAGTGACACAAGCACAACTGCATCGACGAGTTTCCTGCTCTTGTTCGACGCAGCGACACATAGAACTCTGGCGAAATCAGACCCGGACACATTCAATCGCACACAAAAGTACGACACAACTTGTGGAGAATTCCCGGGGCACCGGAGCGGGTACGGACCCAGGAACGAGCAGTGACGACCGCAATTCAGCAACTCTTGTTTCCGCGGGCCTCCCCAAGTTTGTGGCGACGACCTGACGTAGTGGCACTCGAGGCGGCTGAAATGGCGGCTAACGCAGCCCAGTGCTCTGTGCATGTGGTTCAGGAACTTGTGTCCGAGGACAGCGTCAGACAGCGGGATGAGGTTCCCGAACTCCAACATGTTGGCGAATTTGTATTGGCTTGCCCAAGGGCAGCGACTCTCCATCGTGGCCCGATTCCCCTTGCACTAATCGTCAATATGCGCGTCCCTGCATGGGACGACGGTCATCCAGGGGTCCTCGTCGAAGTCCTCTGCGGTCCCTCTGTGGATCGTAGTCACACCGTTGAAATGCCGCACTGATCTCGCGCAAGGAGGAAACGGTTCGGCCAAGCGAATGTGCGTTTCGGGACTCATGGTTTGTGGTGTCGAGAACATCGACTCAAAGATTCGTGGTGTCGAGAAGGTCCCATCCATTACGCGCCCTACACACCACGCGCACATACCAAACGACACACACGGGGACGCTGACACTCGTAAACATAGTTGGCGAGCAATCAAACGACATAGGTCCCTCGCTGTGGTTGTGCACCGGGGTTGGAACGCGAGTTGGGTTTTACGAAAGGCAAGAACCTGAAGTTCGCTGGGATCCGAACTTGACGAAATGCCATGGGAGAGACACAGCTGTCTATCAAACTCGCCTTTCCATTCTCTCTTGAAGTTCGGCTCCCGGCGGACTTCACGTTTTCACAGGTCCACCGATGTGGTTGTGCTTTGGGGTTGTAACTCGGGTTGGGTTTTACGAAAGGCAAGAACCTGAAGTTCGCTAGGATCCGAACTTTTCGAAATGCCGTGGGACGAGACACAACTGTCTATAAAGATCGCCTTTCCATTCTTTCTTGAAGTTCGGATCCCAGCGTACTTCACATTTTCACAGGTCCACTGTTGTGGTTGTGCACTGGGGTTGGAACGCGAGTTGGGTTTTACGAAAGGCAAGAACCTGAAGTTCGCTGGGATCCGAACTTTGCGAAATGCCATGGGAGAGACACAGCTGTCTATCAAACTTGCCTTTCCATTCTTTCTTGAAGTTCGGATCCCGGCGGACTTCACATTTTCACATGTCCACCGCTGTGGTTGTGCACTGGGCGAGTCCGGTTTTACGAAAGGCAAGAACCTGAAGTTCGCTGGGATCCGAACTTYGCGAAATGCCRTGGGAGAGACACAACTGTCTATCAAAATCGCCTTTCCATTCTTTCTTGAAGTTCGGATCCCGGCGTACTTCACATTTTCACAGGTCCACTGCTGTGGTTGTGCACTGGGGTTGGAATGCGAGTTGGGTTTTACGAAAGGCAAGAACCTGAGGTTCGCTGGGATCCGAACTTGGCGAAATGACATGGGAGAGACACAGCTGTCTATCAAACTCGCCTTTCCATGCTTTCTTGAAGTTTGGATCCCGGCGGACTTCACATTTTAACAGGTCCACCGCTGTGGTTGTGCACTGGGGTTGCAACTCGAGTTGGGTTTTACGAAAGCCAAGAAGCGCGAAGTTCGCTGGGATCCGAACTTGGCGAGTTGTCGTGGGAGAGACACAACTGTGTATCAAAATCGACTTTCCATGGTTTCTTGAAGTTCGGATCCCGGCGGACTTCACATTTTAACAGGTCCACTGCTGTGGTTGTGCACTGGGGTTGCAACTCGAGTTGGGTTTTACGAATGGCAAGAACCTGAAGTTCGCTGGGACCCGAACTTGGCGAAATTACATGGGAGAGACACAACTGTCTATCAAACTCGCCTTTCCATGCTTTCTTGAAGTTCGGATCCCGGCGGACTTCACATTTTAACAGGTCCACCGCTGTGGTTGTGCACTGGGGTTGCAACTCGAGTTGGGTTTTACGAAAGCGAAGAATCGCGAAGTTCGCTGGGATCCGAACTTGGCGAGTTGCCGTGGGAGAGACACAACTGTCTATCAAAATCGACTTTCCATGCTGTTTTCAAGTTCGGATCCCGGCGGACTTCACATTTTCACAGGTCCACCGTTGTGGTTGCCCGCTGGGGTTGCACCGCGTGTTGGGTCTTACGAAAGGCGGGAACCCGAGGTCCGCCGAGATCCGTGCTTGGCGAGATTACGTGGGAGAGACACTGGTGTCTATCAAACTCGCCTTCCTGTGCTTTCTTGAAGTTCGGATCCCGACGGACTTCACATTTTCACAGGTCCCCCGCTGTCGTGTGGTGGCTGCAAAACGTTCGTCGTTGGCTGACCAACAAGTTTCGATGACCGACGAGGTTTGCCGTCCAGTGGCGTTCGATGTCCGCCAACATTTCGATGCCCGCCGAGGTTTGACGGGATGCCAGGTTCGATGACAAACAAGGTTCGATGACAAACAAGGTTCGATGGACGCCAAGGTTCGATGGCCAGCAACGTTCGATGTGGAACAACGTTGTCACGAACTGTCTTTTCTCCATTCCCGAAAAGGGATCGACCTTTTTGACGGGTTTCTACCGTGTGGTGGACCAATTGCCTAGCGTGGTGCATACGACTAATGGACGAGGAGGCAGGTCGAATGCAGTTCAATCGGGGCGAGAAAAGTGAACCGCTCGGCTGGCATGTCGGTGCCCTGGTCGGCGAGCGGCCGATCAATCAGCTAATTGGCCAACCACAAACCGAAAAGTCAATCAATCAACTAACCAGTTGCTCGTGCCAACGCTCTCCTGTCAACCAGTTTGCAGGATCGGTCGTCCGCCTGCCGGTTGGGCGATCGCGCAGAGGGTGATGCCACGGTTGCAACGCAAGCACACGTTCGGCTCTATGGTTGGTGGACTGCTGGATCAACCGGTCATCCAACCGCAGTCCGAGCAGTCGTTCGGTGATGCTGGTAGTGGTGGATCCATTGACCAGTCTTCTGTTCGCTCGGGGTACATCAACGAGTGTGATGGATCGGTCGCTCGCTGCCCGGTTGATCGTTCGCCGCCCGGTTGGTCGTTCGCGCACGGTGCCACGTATGTTTTGTTGTTACAATTGATACTGGGGAAAAACACACACACGGTGACAACGTTGAGACAGCACTCGCGATCAATCGACCGATCGTGAGCACTCCGTTCGTGTTCGGCGATTGGTCGAATAGGTGCATCTACTGTCCCGACAATGTCACCTCCTGCTTTGGTTGATCATCCATTAGGCAGATCAGCGATCGTGTCGTGATCAATCGTGATGGTCTTGTTCATCACTCACGTGCGGTATCGCCGATGTCACCACTCACGAGTGGATGATTGATCTGATGAGTGGACAAAGATCCGATCGGCCGCGCGGTTATTGTGTTTCGTGATCGGTCGCCTCGCGCTCGATCGAAGCTTTCATCATGCATCAGTTACTCAGTTCATGAGAACTGCCCAATGGACGGCCGATCGAAACACGCGGTGACAATGTCGAGAGTGATCTGATCGTGCTCCGTCGATCTGGACTGCATATAGTCAAGAAATATTATCTATTTTGTGCTCTGTACTGTCTATAATCAATAATGAATACTATCAAATCAATGAATGTTGTCTATCTACCCATCTATTGTACCTCTGTCGCCGCGTGTTTCGATTAATCATCCTTTGGGAAGATCGACGGCTACTACGTTGGGACAGCAAAAAGGATCAACGGAGTATGGTCAGTGGTCAGGATGTGATGAATTGACGAATGCCGATAGCCCCGATGGAATGCGCTGTGGCCAGTCACGAAACGTAATCACCCCGCACTCGATCGGATGTTTCTCCATTCATTAGTTTCATACACAACAACAGGACATGAGATCCACACACAAATGTGTGGATCTCGTGTGCTCTTGTTGTGTATGAAAATGATGAATGGGGAAACATCCGATCGAGCGCGGGGTGTTTATGTTTCGTGACTGGCCACAGCGCGTTCGAGCGGAGCTATCGGCATTCGTCGGTTCATCACATCCTGACCACTGACCACACTCCATTGTTCCTGTTTGATGTTTGAATGTTGTAGCCCTCGATCTACCCAAAGTATGATTGATATAAACACGCGGCGACATAGATACAATAGATGGATAGATGGACAACAAATTGCAGTTCTTCGTTAGAGCGTACGCAATCGCCGGATGTTACGCACGCACGTCGCTCAACGCCAGAATACAGCAGGAGTAACAACGAACAGACACATGCACACACACACGCACACACACGCGCACACACGCCGCGTACACACGCCGCGTACACAAACACACACCTCATGTAGAGACACTACATACGCAAACCCGAAAAAAAAAACACTGTGACACACAATCAACCGCACGCGCACATGCAAACACATACTCATCACGTACAAGCAAACGCAAACACAACCGCACACGCACATGCAAACACACACTCGTCCAAACAGCGTTGACGTGTCAGCATAAAAGCCGCCCACAATCGCTTGCAGAAACACACACGTCCCGGGTTCGTGCGCACTCACCTTGTGAGAGTGTCGAGTGGAGATGCGTGCGGATCCCGACGTCTATCGAGACAGGAATGCTGCGACCTTGTGCCGTGCGCTTTGTGTTGGCGATGGTAATGCGTGGAGCGTCGGATGCGATAATCCAGAATCGAGATATCGTCGTTGAGTCGACGGGATGTCGACGCGTGACGTCGAAGATGAAGCGGGCAGCGACTAGGGAGGTGGAGGGAGATGCGTCGTAGAAAAGGTAGCGACCAGGGTTTAGAATGGCTGTCCGCTCGCTTCGCTAACCATGGCGCTCCAGTTGTGCGGGGCGATGGTGTTGACGACAATGGTGGTGCGAGGCGTCCGTCCGACAATATCTACCCAGCAAAAAACGCAGAAAGCGGCGTTCACGCCCCGGGCGCCGCTCGTATTTGTAGGCGCGCGTGGGTCGGGTCCCCTTCGGGTCTTCCATTTCGGAGTGCCTCGCAGGGTCCGTTTGACGCCATGAATGGTTGGCCACACGTCGTTCCACGCATCCAACGGTGGCCAAACGTCAAATTTCCCGCTCGGGAAGACCCGGTGCGCGCGACATGGAAAAAAAAAAGTCCCTTCGAACATGGCCTTCCTGGGCGTCATGGAAAAGGGCCGTCGTCCCTGGCCCCTTGCGTTCTTGTGTTCGCGTTCGCGGGCCCCGCCAAAGGGGTTTTCGCACAGCGCGGGGGGGGGTGTTTTTTGTTATGCGTCTGGAGGGTTTTGGGGGGGGGGGGGGGGGGGCGGAGGCGGCTGGGCCCGGTTTTCCGCAGTGCACATTGCGAAGTCGCATTCTGGCCGTCCGATTTGCGGATCGGACGGCCATAGTGCGTCTTCTAACATGGTGCCTGTGGCAATTCCTG